ATCGCACAGTGAATATTGAACTGAAGCTTGACTTGAAAAAAAAAATCATCGCAATCGCAATATCTGTCGAAAAAAAGTCGCGATTTGATCTTTTCCCCCAAATCGTTCAGCACGAGACTACGTAGCCAACCGTGTGAATCGGAGGAGGTGCAGGAGCGAATGATCATGAGCGGCACAGGACTTGCGATGCAGAGGCAACCGGTTCGATTCGATCTCCCGACGCGGCATTAGGAACATGGGAGGACAGCGTTCATTAAATCTCCCTCCCATCTACCCCCCGCTGCACTACAGATCCCCCCACAAAGACAGAGAGGCCTGTGTAGCCTTAACAGACTGTTGGGGCAAGTACCGGTAGCCAGCACCTATGAAGGCCGGCACGGCACCACGAGGTGGTGGGTGGCCAACATACACATAGACAAAGATCCCCCAAATAGTCTTCACAGACTGTAGGGGCAAGTGCTGTTAGCGAGGAGCACCTATGAAGGCCGGGACGGTACACGAGGGGATGGGTGGCCAGCACCACGCCCGACCGTCTTTGTCTCCCCAGTGGCGATGTTTACACACCGCACCAGGTACTCATTGCAGGCTGAGTCGACCTAGGAGAGGCCCAGGACCGGTTCAAATAATCGTCACTGGTGTTGGCCGTGAGCGGGAATCAAACCCCGGGTCGCCAGGTTCATAGCGCAGCGTAGCGCTAACCGCTACACTACCGCTCCCCACTACATCACACACACATGCACTGTGTATATATCAATGGCCGCTGATGTTAGCCGTGGCCGGGACTCCGATCACAGGGGTTAGTAGTAGGCACTACTCACGAACCATTACGTCACCACTCCAGTCACATTACACCGTACACACAACGAACGCAAGGATCCCCCGTATAGCCTTCGCAGGCTTTTGGGGCAAGTGCTGTTAGCGAGCACCTATTAAGGTCGATACAAGCGGGCGAGCGGAGCGAATCACCGAAACAACTCGCACACAAAGCCACGCTCGACTCCCTCGCCATCAACCCCCCCACACCCCCACACTCCCACCCATCTCTCCCCCACCCACCCACCCCCCTTCATCCCCTCACTCCTCCGCTCTCCGTTCCTCGCTGCACGCTTCAGGTGCCCCAGGCGCAGTTCCGCACGGCTAATATGTGTTTAGTGTTCGCGGTACAGGGTGACGTGCCTGGGGGTAGCTCCCCCCACCCATCTCGCGCGCCCCCCCCTCTCGCCCCTCCCCATCAGCCCCCACACACCCCCACTCTAGCCCCCCCTGCCCCCCCCCCCCCACTCCTACCACAGCCTCTCTCCTTCGCCCACGTTCTACCGTCCTCCACGCGTCTCTCTCGCTTGTCCCACTCTCGTCTTTCCTCCCCCCCCCACCTCTTCACGTCCCGGCATCTCTTCCCTCATCCCCCGTCTATCCCCCGCCCCGCCGCCCCCTCCCCATCACCCCCCCCCCCCCCCCGTCTGCCCCTTCCTCTCCCTTTCGTCCCCGTTCAATCATTGCTCCGTCTCCTCTTCATCCCCTTGACACCTCCGCTTCCCCCAATCCTCCCTCCCCCGATTCTCTCTCTCGCTCCTCCCTCTCACCCCTCCCTCCTCTCTCTCACCACCCCCCTCCATTCCTCCCTCGCTCCCTCCCTCATTCCATCTCCCTCGTCCCCCCCCCCTGCCCCCGTCTCCTCCCCCTCCCTCTTTGACACCTCGTTAAATTCGCCAGATGGGGCACGGATAGAGAGGCTGGCTTAGTCTCCTCCCGCGCCCGCTCACGGGAAGATGGGAAATTCACTCCATCCGTGTGGTGATCCACCAACCCTTTGCTGCTGCTGCTGCTGTTGCCTCCACAGCAGTGCTGGACTACAGGCAGCTAGCCACGTGCAGCAGCGTAGCCAACACCGCCACCGCTCGGCTAAGGATGTACGGTGCGAGTGATGTTGCGTTCGGGGGTTCGTGTTCTCAGCCTCCATCGCGCGTGTCGATGTACGCGTGCATTCACACCAAAGACAACGACTGCCCGTGTAGCCTTAACACATTTTGGAGGGGCAAGTGCTGTTAGCGAGTAGCACCGCTGTAGCTCGACATGGTGCACGAGTCGGTGGGTGACCAACACCGCGCCCGGCCGCCTTTGTCTCCCCAGTGACGATGTTTACACACCGCACCAGGTACTCAAATGAGGCCGAGTCGACCACGTTTGTGTGTGTGTGTGTGTCGCTGGCCATCCACCCCCTGGTGTGCCCTATCGATCTTCATCTGGCGCTCGCTAACAGCACTTGCCCCGACAGTCTGATACAGCCTACACGGGGGATCTTTGTCTTTGTTTGGTAGTGCATCGGTGAGCGTGCCTCTCGCTCCGAACTCGGCGATCCAGGCATTCTCGATTCCGGCTCACGACCCAACATCAGTGACGAATTATATAGCCTCTCTCCCCTAGGTCGACTTAGCCTGAAACGACTACCTAGCGCGGTGTGTAACCAAAACATCGACAGTCACTCGGCGGAGGGGGCGAGACAACGGTGGTTTGTTTGGCGCGGGCTCTCTGGCCACCCAACCCACCAACAGCCTGTGGAGGCTATACGGGGGACCTTTGTCTTTGCAGTGCACGTGAGCGCCACGTGTGCGCGCGCGCGCGCGTGCGAGGACGTGTGGAGTAGAAAGCGCCAGAGATCCAAACTCCCCTCTCCCCGTTCGCACCGAACCCGCGTTTCAACTCTTAAACGATTTTAATGTTTGATCGTAAATTAAATAAATATGCGCGCACCCTCACACACGCGCAGTACACATACACATACATACACACATACACACACTCATACATACAAAGATCCCCCATATAGCCTGTAACAGACTGTTGGGGCAAGTGCTGTTAGCGAGCACCTATGAAGGCCGGAACGGTACACGAGGGGGTGGGTGGCCAGCACCACGCCCGACCGCCTTTGTCTCCCCCAGTGTCGATGTTTACACACCGCACCAGATACTAATTTGAGGCTGTGTCGACCTAGGGGAGGCCTAGGACAGGTTCAAATAATTGTCACTGATGTTGGCCGTGAGCCAAACTCTGTTTGGCGCGCTAACCACTACACTACCGCTCCCCACTATGAATTACAAAGACAAATACAAAGACCCCCCGTATAGCCTTAACAGACTGTTGGGGCAAGTGCTGTTAGCGAGCACCTATGAAGGCCGCCACAGCACACGAGGGGGTGGGTAACCAACACCACGCCCGGCCGCCTTTGTCTCCCCAGTGGCGATATTTACGCACCGCACCAGGTACTAATTTGAGGCTAAGCCGGTTAAGCTATTCGTCACTAGGTTGTTGGTGGCCGTGAGCGGGAATCGAACTCGGGTCGCCGGGTTCGTAGCGCAGCGTCGCGCTAACCGCTACACCACCGCTCCACACACACACCACACACACATTGATACAAAGACACAGACAACATTGATACACACAAACATTGTCATTGCACCTTTACTTACTTACCCACAGACTAATGATTTACTCTATCCCTAACCCTGACTGTCACCCTCCCACGTGTTTGAGTTGAGGTGAGTGTGAGTCGATGCGAGTGTAAGTCGGTGTCGGTGAGTCACCCACACGTTTAGATACAGCCCCCTCTCTCTCTCTCTCCCTACTCTCTCCTTTCATAACTCCCTCTCTCATTACGCCCCTCTCTTTATCCCCCCCCTCCCCGTCCTCTCCCCACCTCCCCCTCTGCACACTTCCACACCCCCCATCTCTCTCCCTCCATCCCTCATTCCATCACTCTCCTTCCCCCTTCCTGCCCCTCTCATTCCATTGCGCTCTCCCTCTTTAGATCTCTCCGTTCCTCTCTCGCTCTCTCCCTATTTATCTCTCTCAGTCCATCTCTCTCTCGCTCTCCGTTCCCCTCTCTCTCTCTCTCTCACTCTCCGTTCCTCTCCCAATGACTGCCACATCCCTCCACCCTTCCTACCCTCCACCACCGCATTCGCGTACAAACAACTCGTCGATGAATCGGTAACACCTTCATACGTAGAGCACCGCGGATCTCGGGCAAATATTTGCTGCTGCTGCTGCTGTTGCCTCCCCTCGCTCGTCCGTGTTTGCATCTCGCAACGCCTCAAGATCGTCCAACTGCCATCAGCGACGAACCCTCGATGTTTCGTCCTTGCGTTACATCTGGTCTTCACAGGCTCGGTAGAGATGGAGTGCATCTGTAAGGTGCAGGTGGAGTGCATCTGTAAGGTGCAGATTGAGTTAATCTGCAAGGTGCAGATTGAGTTAATCTGCAAGGTAGATATGGAGTTCATATGTAAGTTGTAGATGGAGTTACTCTGCAAGGTAAAGATGGAGTTCATATGCAAGGTAGAGATGGAGTTCATATGTAAGTTATAGATGGAGTTAATCTGCAAGGTAAAGATGGAGTTCATATGTAAGTTGTAGATGGAGTTCATATGCAAGGTAGATATGGAGTTCATCTGCAAGGTAGATATGGAGTTCATATGCAAGGTAGAGATGGAGTTAATCTGCAAGGTAGAGATGGAGTTCATATGCAAGGTAGAGATGGAGTTCATATGCAAGGTAGAGATGGAGTTCATCTGCAAGGTAGAGATGGGGTTCATCTGGTGAGCGTTATCGCAGCTGACCGTCGTTGTTATCGTTCCCATCATCCTCCTCCATCCTCAACCGTCCTACTCTGATCCCTCGGTTTATTTAAAACACTTTTTTTTCTTCAAAGCCTTTTCTACTCATTAATGTCCCCCCTGTGTTTTGTGAGTGTGGTGGGGTGGTGCTGGTGGTGGTGGGGTAGGGATTCTTGTCTCCGTGCTTAAATCACGAGCCTGCGCGCTCATGTTACGGTTTTATTTTTTTAAAGAATCGCGTGAGCCATTTTTGCTCGCTCGCCTCCGGCTCCGTGCGGCGCGTTGCGACCTTCTGGGCGAAAGCGCCCTCGGGGCAAGCGCGAATCGCCACCGCGCCCATGAACTCCACCGTCCCCGTTCCACCCCCTCCACCCCCTCCCCCGGCAGGTTTGGTTCCAGAACCGCCGCGCCAAGTGGCGCAAGAAGGAGAACACGAAGAAAGGTCCCGGCAGGCCGGCGCATAACGCGCACCCGCTCACGTGCAGCGGCGAGCCCATGGACCCGGCCGACATCGCCCGCAGGGAACGCGAAAGGCTCGAGAGGAAGAAACGAAAGCTCGAGCGCAGGGGTCTGAAGGCGGCTGCCGCAGCGGCGGCGGCGGCGGCCGGAGGAGGCGGCGGCGGCGGCGTTGGTGGTGGCGGCTTAGGAGGAGTCGGCGGACTGAGACAAGGGCCGTTGTCCGTGTCCGGTGACGAGAGCGACTCCAGCTCGTCCATGCAGGGTGGCTGTGGAGACAGTGGGAGTAGCGGTGGTGGCGGTGGTCCCGTGTCGTTCACGCACGCGTTCCTGCAGGGCGCTGTCAAGGTTGGTGGTGGTGGTGGTGGTGATGATGAGGGTTCGCTGAAGGTTGCGCGGGATGAGGAGGTGGGTGGTGGTGGTGGTGGTGGTGGATCGGCGGGTGGGAGCAGGGACTTAGGGTCTGGAGTTGTTGGAGGAACCGGGGGAGGTCGGGAAAGCGTGGGCGCTACGCAACCGTCCGATCTACAACATCATCATCACCATCAGCAGCAACATCATCAGCTCCATCAGCAACATCACCATCAGCAGCAGCAGCAGCAGGAACAACACCAACAACACCAGCTAAACAACCATCACAACCACAACCATCACAACCATCACCTCCTCCACCATAACCACCATCACCACCACCACCAGCAACAACAACAACAGCAGCAGCAGCAGCATCAACATCCTCATCAGCAGCAGCAGCAGCATCATCATCAGCAGCAGGGGGAGTCTGACGACACGAAGACGACGCTCAGAGCGAACCCGTTCAGCGTGGAGAGTCTGCTGGCCGATCGCCCCCCGCAACGCCGGCGTCGCGACTACGAGTCGCCGTGCAAGATCGGCGGCGGTGGTGGCGGCGGTGGCGGTGGTGGCGGTGGGGGGGTCACCGTGATTGGGGCGGGCGGCGGTGCCGGCTGCCCTCCTCGCCTCTCTTTCTTCCCGGTCACTCAGCCCCTCGGATTCCTCATTCAGCACCGAGCGTGCGGCAGCCGCAGCAGCAGCAGCGGCAGCGAGCGACGCGGGAACGACGCCAGGCACGTGCAGCGATGCGATGGTGGGGATGACGATGACGACGACGACGATGACGACGACGACGACGACGACGATGATGACGATGACGACGATGGAAGCCACGAGGGCGGTGCTGTTGTTGAATCACCGGCGGCTAAGACTGTAGCGGTGGCGCCAGCAGCTGACGATGCGAATGCTGCAGCGGTGGATGATAATGATGATGTCGAAGGGGTGAAGTTGGGGAGAGACGCGGCTGCCGGTGAGGATGAGAAGGAGAGAGCTGCCGGGGAGATGAATGGAGGAGACGCTTTGAAATCCGCGGCCGCCGCCGTGACGGAGAGCGAGGTGGGAGTCAAGCAGCAGCAGCAGCAGCTTCATCAGCATCATCATCAGCAGCAGCATCAGCAGCAGGCGCAGGAAGGTGATGATGATGACGATGAGTAAGGACACGAGAGCGGACTGAAGGAAGCGGGAGACGCGACGAGCGAGCGTGGGAGGGAGGGGAGGGAGCGGTGGGAGGGAGGGGATGGAAGACGTTTTGCTGGCGCGTTTGTTTTGGAGACTCGTGGCGGACATTGTGGTTGGTGGTGGTGATGGTGGTGATGGTGGTTGGAGAGAAGACTCAGGACGTGGTACAATTGGAACTTGCCTGTCTGTCTGTCTGTCCACGTCCCTATTTGGCTATCAGAGTGAGTGTCTGTCTGGCTGTCAGTGTCTGTCAGGCTGTCTGTGTGAGTGTCTATCTGTCTGTGTGAGTGTCTATCTGTCTATGTGAGTGTCTATCTGTCTGTGTGAGTGTCTATCTGTCTGTGTGAGTGTCTATCTGGCTAGCTGACCGGTCGGCTGTACGAGTGTCTGCCTGTGTGTTATGTATCTCTCTGTCTCTCTCTTTCACGATGGCTGTCTGCCTAAGTGTCTCTGCCTTGAGTTGTCTTTGGTCTGGCTAGTCGATGGGCTGTCTAAGCATATATCTGTCTGTCTGGCTTATAATCCGAAAGCTGTGTGTATGACACCAGATCTGTATAACTTTATTGACACCTGGCACATACTGCGTCTTACTTTCCGGATGCGTATTATAATCCGGAGAATGCGTTAATTGTCTTGACTGGCTAGCCGGCTAGCCTGGCCGTGTGAGTGTCTGTCTCTGAATGTCTGTGCCCCCCCGCCCCGCTCCCTTGCGTGTCTATCTCCCCTACTCTTCGCGTGTCTGGGTGTGGATCGTTAGACAACCTCCTCCGAACACCGAGGGATGATTGATGGCCACCTCTGCGGCCAGTGTTCGATTCCGGGTAAAATCCGTGCCCCCCCCCCCCAACTCCTCCCCCCTCCACCACCACCCCCCTCAACCCCCCTTTCCGCCCGCCCCCCCCCGGTAATCCTCCCTATATCTTAGTAATCCACGTGTTGACGACGTATTTAACGATCGGCTCCTTAATTTATTTTAATTCATCGTTCCTTTTTGTTTTAAATCGTTTAAGTATTTAGTTACGTTGTGGTATATATGGGGGGGGGAAATATCGCCGTGTCTGTTACATTTTTTTGGGGTGAAATTTTTTTTGCGATAATTTATTTGATCAATTATTTATGTAGATGTCAGTTGTGACGGATGTGTGCGCGTGCGTGCGATGGTGCCGCGTTTGAATTGATGGATTATTTAAATCGGAGTCATTAATCGATTATTAAAATCTGGTTACATAATCGATTTGGGGGGGGGGCGGGGGGCGGCGGGTTGTTTTGGGCTCAGATATGAACGTGCCCCAATCTCTTTCAACATCTCTCGCCTCTGTTTAACGCAGCAGCAGCAGCATCAGCAGCAGGAGCAGCAGCAGCAGCAGCAGGAGGCTTTCGCCACCAATGTTTGCCATAATAATGGGGAGCGAGGGAGGTGTTTGGGGTCAGATCGCGTTAATATAACGTGTGTCGTGACACCCGCCAACCCCCACCCCCCGACACAGCCAGAATAAACCTTTACTCTCCAACACACCGGTGTGTGTGTGTGTGTGCTGTACGAGTAACTCATTGGCACGTTTTTGTTCACGTGACAAACCTTACTAATTGGCTGTGTCGGGTGGTGGCGGGGTTTAACGACACACATTGATATTCACGCAATCTAACCCAAACAAAAAACATTGTTACGGATTTTTCTCCTATCTCCCGAAACTCCACTCCTCTCAACTATCACCTACATCTCCAACATACTGTATTCTTGTCTCGATCTGCCTACGTCTCCACTCATATATCTCCTCTATCTCCACTCTATACGCGGTCTCTCTGCTCTACCTATTCTGCATCTCCACTCCATCTCCCAATCTTCCGCCCTCTCTGCTACATCTGCTGTCACTCGCCATCTCTCTTGCCTGCTGTATCACACGACTTTAATCATCGCCACCATCATCATCATCACGACCACCACCTTGACCAAATCACCATCATCGACATCTTCCTGATCTTCACTACCACCACCATCACATCATCATCACCACATCAACGCCGTCATCATCATTATCTTCGCCAGCACCACAATCATCATCACTATGGTCATCACGATCAAGATCACCATCATCGTCGTCGTTACCACCACCACCACCACCATCGTGATTAAAACAGTGACAAAAAAACGTTCTGGACAAAGACGATACAATATCCAGCTCTCGGGTCAGAACCCGGCTCTCTGAACTTCTCTGTTACCACGTCTCTTTCCTGAACCTTGGGGGTAGCGAGGGGACGACTTTGTGTCTCACCATAGGCCACAGCAGCAATTCTTTTTTTTCCCACTGGCACATCCGAGCCGTGCCAGCGCGGGACCTTCACGGTACGGGTAGTTTTTATTTTTCCCACCGGCACATCCGAACCGAGCCAACCCGGGACCCTTCCAGTACGGGTGGGGTTTTTTTTTTCCACTGGTGCCGAGCCGGAACCAAACCGTGGCAAGAAGATATCTGACTCGGGGCCAAACCAGGACCGGGAGTGCGACTAATTACTCGTTCATTCCGTGCAACGTCAGCGGCACTGGCCTGGCTCGGTACGGTTCTGTTTCGGCTCGGTCTGCAGTGGGAAAAATAGGTTTCACACGTTCCCACGCTTGATGCTACTTAACTTCCCTCTCTTCCCTCTCTTCCCTAACCGTGTCTTTGCCTGTTTATCTCTCCACTGCTGCACTGTTTCACAAGTTGTTGACTCGTTCTGGAATCTCGCTCTCCCGCTCGCTCTCTCGCTCGCTCTCTCGCTATCTCGCTCTCTTTTATTTACGATCAGAGGAAACAAGATGCTCGGTGTAGTCGGCACTTTGCTGCGTTCATAATTTCTATTTTTTTTAAACACTTTGCTTTATGTAACCCCCCCTTTTTTAAATGAAATATTTAACAAAATATTTCTCGCTCTGCTCTCGTTACCCCTTCCCTCTCTCTCTACCCCCCTCTCTGCCCCCCCCCTCTCTCTACCCCCTCTCCTCCTACTCCATGTCGTTCTCTCTCTCTCGCTCTCTCGCTCTCTCTCTCACTCGCTCTCCCCGTGTTCGCTGCGCACTCGTTGTGTTCGCCGTGACGAGACTCAGCCGTCGCAGGAGACGGCAACATGCGAATCCTTCCAGAAAGCACCCAAGCGGAATCGTAACGAACAACAACAACAACCACACACATTGATAAGCAGCAACAGTAACAACAACTAAACCGATATCATCGCGACGTCGTCGCTTCTGTCTTCCTGCGGTCGACAAAAAAAGTTAGAAACTTTTCTCTTAAGACCCCCCGAAGATGCAACGCCGCTCCTAACTGCTCGCCGCGTCTCTCGATGTCGGGAACAACCGTGTACACTCCACGTTACCACGAAGGGGACCAGTCTTGTCCGTCTGTTTGTCCGTCACTTGGACGACCGCTCCGTGTGTGCATCGTCACAAAGAGGCGCTCACGTGGTTTGACCGTGGAGGGATGAGCACGTTGATTGTGGTGATGGTGGCGGTGATGATGATGATGGTGGTAGTGAAAATGATGCGTTCTTGCACGCACGACACTTCATGATGATGATGCTGGTGCTGATGATGATGATGAGGTCATGATAGGGGTGGTGATGATTATGGTAATAGAGGTAATTCCCATTGGTCGTGATCATGATGGTTATGATGTTAACGATGATGATGATAATGATGGATCATAAGACGCCCACATGACCTCGGGGCTATAAATTTGACAGGTTCCCGAATCCACAATCAACTCTCACTTCTCTCCACCCACCAACCAGCCAGCTTCCCAACTACCCATCCACCCACCCTACCACCTACCCACCTAGTCCACCAACCACCCGCCCAACCCACGACCCACCAACCGCCCGCCCAACTACCCACCCACCCAACCACCTACCTACTTACCTACTCCACCAACCACCCACCCTGCCACCTACCAACCTGTCTCAACCACCAACGACCCACCCAACGACCTTCCCAACTACCCACTCAACCACCCACCATACCACCTACCTCCTCCACCACCCACCCACCCAACGGCCCACCCACCCACCCAACGGCCCACCCAACCACCCACCTATAGCAAAACATCGCCCCGCCACTGGCAGACTAAATGGACACTCGCCACGTACCACCTTGCATCGGCCAGGGACAGCCGCCATTCGGCGGTGTGGATGTCCCCACGGCTGAAAAACTACAGCCGGAGCAAGCGAACGGGCAGCCTGAGACGAGGACGTGGTGAAGTGGTGAGCGCCGCTTCGAGATCCCCCACCCCGTGGCGTGCGAAGCGAAGGGTGGCGGCTTCGTGGGGGGTGGGGGGGGGGGTGTAACGCTCGGGCGGGTACCACGGAGCGCCCAGGTTCGATTCCCACTTCGGGCGTCGCTTTTCCTGCTGTGGACTTTGTTGTCTCTCTCCCCCCTGTTTTCTGCACGAGTCTCCTCCAGCTTCTCCCCCGCGGCTACAAAGCACGCGATGTGAGTGGTATTGGCCAAGAGACATCCCAATTAGTAGCAGGGCCCTCGTGTTCAAACCGAGTCTTCGGACGCCGCGTGGGCGCGTTGTTGTTGTTTGTTACTGGGTCAAGAATGGGGGTCATTGTGGGCGCCCTACCAGTTACCCTCAAATCCCGCGTTGAGTTTGCGACAACAGACACAGACACAGATCCCCACACACACACACACATACCACCGTGCAGCCTCCCCGGACTGTTGGGACAGAGGGTGGTGTGGGTGGGGTGGGTGGGGTGGGTGGGGTTGGTGGTGTGGGTGGGGTGGTGTGGGTGGGGTGGGTGGTGTGGGTGGGGTGGTGTGGGTGGGGTGGGTGGTGTGGTCAGCACCCCACGGCCCCAACGATTTTCACGGCCACCCAGACACGGGGCCAGAGGTTCGACTCCCGAATCGGTCGCGCGTGCATCAGAGTCCACATCTATATCATTCACATAAACTATATATTTACGTTAAATATTGATGCTCAATAATAATAACAGTAATGACAACGACAATAATAATGATGTTGTCTCCGATGATGATGATGATATGACTTTAATACGCTAAAGGGAGTTTCATAAGACGCGGGGGGGGGGGGGAGGTAAAAAAGGCAAAGGTCCCCCAGATAGCCTACACAAACTGTTGGGGCAAGTGCTGTTAGCGAGCACTTATAAAGCAGTCCGACACGGCACACGAGGAGCGGTTGGTGTGGGGACCAGCACCACCCTCGGCCGCCTTTGTCTCCCCAACGTGTTGATGTTTACACACCGCACGCTGGTGGTACTCATTTAAAGTTGAGTCGACCCGTGGGGGGGGGGGGTGGTGGGGAGGGGAGGTAACGCGGGGGGGGGGGCTACGGGGGAGGGGACCCCCACCTTCGGGTTTCCCGGGTTTCGAAGCGCAGTGCGCTAACCACTGCGCCACCGCTCCCCCGAGACGACGCCACGGATGAGATGGGAGCCGCAACACCACAGCCGCGCGTGTCGTTGTAATCGTCCAATGTTATCCGCAATATATGTTGTGTATCATATCCTGTTTAACGAAAGTAAATAGCTGTAAATAAATAATTTATAACAATGCAATTCCGCTCGTCTGCTCATTTAGCCTCGTGAATAATTAATGAGGCGGCGTGAATAATTAATTAATCGCGTCGAAACCCGCGGCGCGTGTTTGTTTTGAGCCTTTTTTGACGCGGGAGGCATCGTGGGCTTCGTTGTTGTTGTGGGGGAGGGGAGCGAGGGGGGGGGGTCTGTGTGGGTACGGAGCAGCCTGCCAGTGGGAATAATGGGGGGGGGCATGGGAGGGGGGGGGCACGGGGGTGGGGGTTAGAGAGCTCACAGCCACCCCAAACCAACCCATCCCGCCCCCACCACTCAGCTGTTGTCGTCTTCGTTCTACAAAACCGCGTGGACGCAGAGCAGGAGGACAAACACGACCAATGCGGCCGTGGCCTTCAATGAAGAACAATGCACGGGGTGGGCGACGTTCCGGGCAACGGCCCTCCGCCGGAGTCCTTTATTACACGCAGAGGCCCGATACGCAAACCAATTCTATTCCCCCTCGCACATCTGAAGCCCCCCTCCCCCATCCCACCACCACCCACGCTACGGAGATACTGAGCAAGCCGCCGTCAAACTTTTGTCGATTCTATGGATGAGTTGGAGGGATGGGTAGGGGTGGGGGTGGAGGGGAGAGGATGAGTGGGAAGAGGGATGAGTCGGGGGTAGGGATGATTGGGAGGTGGGATGAGTCGGGGGTGGGATGAGTCGGGGGTGGGATGAGTCGGAGGTGGGATGAGTGGGGGGGTGGAACGGGGGAGGGGGTTGTGTTTTCTTGGGGGGTGAGATAGGTTATGTTAATTAGCCCGTCACGTGACGCGATTTCGAGCCTCCCCCACCTCCGCGACGCGGAGAGGAGGATGAAGAAAGAGGAGGGAGATGGTCGCGGTGGCTCTGCGTCTCTTTCCGCAGGTGCGCTCACCTGGACACGCCAGGTGAGAGAGAGAGCGAGATATGCAAGCGGGCACGCACGCACAGGTACAACAACAACAAACAAGAGTCGCCATTCGCCACTTGGTGACGTCATCACGCCACTTGTGCCAGGCTAGGTGCACTCCCGAAGGTCACGCGAAATAGCGAAGGCTCGCTGCTGGCAAGGAGGTCACCGGGACAGACCCAGGTGCCACTGGGTTGACTGACTGAGATGACCGGCAGATGCATCAGCTGTGCTCCCCGCTGCGTTACCACTGCTGTGACCGAATCGCTGCGCTTTAATCCGCCCGGCGCTCCGCTCGTTGTTGTGAGCGTCGCTCCTCCGCCCTCAGCTGTTGTGGGAGGGCGATTGCCTCCGACTGCCCCAGTAGCAGCAGTGTCCTTCACGTGCCTCCTCCTCCAACTTCTCCACAGGACAGGGGCCGTACATAAATGACGTCACGTGATTTTGGACGATTTTTGACCCCCCCCCCTCGTCACACGGCGTCACATAAAGTCAGACACCCCCTCAAATATGACGTCACAAAGCTCTGCCCCCCCCCCCAAACCATATTTCCATTTTGAAAATTCAACATGCTTCAAATCGCTTTAAACTATCGTCATTGTAGTGCGTATTTAATGTGGCGCTGCACTCTGATGTCGTAGGAGAAAACATTTATTAAAAAGTATATTTCATTAAGTAGAACGTGTTGTCTATATTTATTTAAAGTTGATGTGACGTCACATTTCTCAAACCCCCCCTCCCCCTCGTCACACATCGTCACAAATGTCTGACCCCCCTCCTCCTATGTGCGTGACGTCGTTGTACTCGGCGCGGAGTCGACTCGTGAGCGGCTGTAGTCGACGTGGAGTTTTGGAGTGCGGGAGCCGAGGCACAGACGCAAAGCGGCCAGCAACAAACGGCACTCTTGATGGCGCCAATAGATAAGAGTCGGAGGAGGAGTTTCTTCACCTGAGCGAGGTCACTTGAGAGAGCTCGGCGTGGCCCAAGAGACGATGGTGATAGGAGGCCGTCCATAAATGACGTCACGCACCTGGAGGGGGCGGGGGGGTCAGACATTTGTGACGATGTGTGACGAAGGGAGGGGGGGGGGAGTTTGAGAAATGTGACGTCACATCAAAATACGCAACGTTACATTAATATAGACAACACGTTCTACTTCATTAAATAGACTTTTTAAATAAATGTTTTCTCCTACAACATCAGAGTGCAGCGCCACATTAAATACGCACTACAATGACAATAGTTTAAAGCGATTTGAAGCAGGTTTTATATTTTTTTGGGGGGGGGGGGGGGGGCAGAGCTTTGTGACGTCATATTTGAGGGGGGGTCTGACTTTTTGTGACGCCGTGTGACGAGGAGGGGGGGGGGTCAAAAATAATCCAAAATCGAGTGACGTCATTTATGGACGGCCCCACAAGTGCAGTGTGGCGAGTGGGTGAGAAGTGAGTGGGGTGAGTGGGCCAATGAGTGTGTCGTGAAGTGCACGTGGCCTGGCACAAGCGCCGTGGTGACGTCACCGCCGCTTAAGTGGCGCATGGCGATTGTTGTTGTTGTGAGCTACACTGAGAGTGCACGTGGCCTGGCACAAGCGCTGTGGTGACGTCACCGCCATCGGGAAACCGTCTCCCCCACTCCTCGGGTAGCCCCGCCCAATGAATTGGTGGCTCCACCCATTATACAGGTGGCTCCGCCCCTTTTCCTGCTAAACCCGCCCACGACTCAGGTAGCCCCGCCCTCTGCCCGCGTCGCGAGCCAACCCCGGGTCGTTCACGCCGCGCGTGTGCGCACGTAGGTCGACTCGGCCTCAAATGATTGCGACATGTAAACATCGCCACTAGGGAGACAAAGGCGGCCGGGCGGGCGGGCGGGCGTAGTGCTGGCTCCACCCTTTCGTCTTCCGTTCCGACCTTAATCGGGAGCTCGCTAAGAGCACTTGCCCCAACAGACTGTTGAGGGCTATACGGGGGAGGGTTGGACCTTTGTCTTTGTGCACACGTGTGCGCAGATAGACGACGCGTCTGCGTGTGCGTGCGCGCGCGCGTGCGTGAGCTCACAGACTGTGGTGAAGATTATGATGATGATGGTGGTGGTGGTGTCGATGATCGTAATTTGTGGCTGTAATTCGAATTGTTGTGATGTCGGTGGTTGTCGTGAGAGCCTGCGGTGTGCACGGCGTGCGTGCGTGCGCGCGTGTGTACACACACAGACAAAGATCCCCCGTATAGCCTGTAACAGACTGTTGGGGCAAGTGCTGTTAACAAGCATTTATGAAGGCCGGCACGGCACACGAGGGTTGTGGTGGGTGGCCAGCACCACGCCCGGCCGCCTTTGTCTCCCCAGTGACAATGTTTACGCACCGCACCAGGTACTCATTTGAGGCCGAGTCGACCTAGGGGAGGCCCATGCCCGGGTAAGATAATCGTCACCGGTGTTTGCCGGGAGCGGGAATCGAACTCGGGTCGCCGGGTTCGTTGCGCAGCGTAGCGCACTAACGGCTACGCCACCACTCTCCTGTTCACTCATACACGTACATGCGCGTGTACACACACACACGCGTACACGCGCACGTGTACACACACACGCGTACACGCGCACGTGTACACACGTGCGCGCGTGCGTGACGAGAGAGAGCGCGCGTTAAACACCACCATCGGCACCACCCCGCGTGCACTCGCGAATTAGCCTCTTCTCCTCCTGCTCCCCCTCTCCCCCATCTCCTCCCCCTCCCCTTCTCCCTCCCTCTCTCCCGTGCGTTATTAAGACGGATGGTGGATGATGGCCGCATTGTTGAGCCGCGCGCATTATTGATGTTCGCGAGTTATCGCGCGATTGATCAGCTGTCAGCGCTAATAGAGCAAGAAGATGCTGGGGTCCGTGGTGGGCTGGGCCGTTTGGGGGGGGGGGGAGTTGGGGGGGGGGGGTGGGAGGTATTTGGAGAGGGGAGTGGGGGGGGGTGTCGAGGGGGTAAGGCGTGGAGGGGGTAAGGCGTGGAGGGGGTAAGGCGTGAGGAAGGGGGTACCATCCGTCGGGAGCAGTTGTTTGATTCTCGACAGCTGCTGCGTGAACAATCACTCCGACTCGGGGGGGGGGAGGGGGGGGGCGGGTTCCACCTCCCACCATCCCCCCGGGACCCCCGCGAGAAGTTTTTTTTTACAAATCTGGGGGTCTGGCGGAGAGCAGCGGCTGCCGGGAGGCGTATGGCAGGCGTGGTGGTGGTGATGGGGGGTGATGGTTCAGATAGTATAAGTTGGTGGTGTTGGTGGTGGTTATTGTGGTTGATGGAATATATGATCATTTTGGTGCTGGTGGTAGCGATGTTGAAGTTAGTTGGGGGGTTGATGGTGGTGGCGTTGGTGGTGGTGGTGATGGTTATTGTGGTGATGGCGACCCGAGTTTGATTCCCGCTCACGATCAACAAACGGTGGCGAATATTTGAAGCGGTCCTGAGCCTCTCCTAGATCGACTCGGCCTCAAATTAATTCCCGGTGAGATGTGCAAAGATCGCCACGAGGGAGACAAAGGCGGTCGGGCGTGGTGCTGGCCACCCATCTCCTCGTGCGCCGTGCCGGCCTTCATAGGTGCTGGTCGCTAACAGCACTTGCCCCAAAAGTCTGTTAAGGCTACACGGGGGTTCTTTGTCTTTGATGGCAGGGAGTGGAGGTGGTGGCGTTCGGGGGTGGGATGGTGATGTGGCGATGCTAATTCTTATTATTGTTGTTGTGGTGGTGTTATATGGTTTTAACAAGTCGTGGTGTTAAATATTATGATAATAGTGGGCAGGACGGAAGTAAACGAAAATAGACACGCACGTACAGACAAAAAAAAGGCACAGAGAACAATTACAAAGATCCCCCGTATAGCCTCAACAGACTGTTTGGGCGAGTGCTGTTAGTGGCCACCTATGAAGCCCGACGCTGTACACGACGCCTCTATCTCCCTCGTGGTAATCTTTACGCATCGCACCAGATACTCATTTAAGGATGAGTCGACCTAGCAGAGGCCCAGGACCGCTTCAAATATTTGCCACTGTTATTGGGTCGTCGGGTTCGTAACCTCGGGCGCTAACTACTGTGCCTCCGCTCCGCATCACAAACATACAAAGATCCTCCCGTATAGCCTCAATATATTTTCGGGGCAAGTGCTGTTGGTGAGCACCTATGAAGGGCCAGCAAAGACACACAAAGATCCCCTGTGTAGCCTCAACAGACTGTTGGGTAAAGTGATGTTAGCGAGCACCTTCGCACACAGACAAAGATGCCGCATAAAGCCTCCAAAGACTGTTGGGGCTGGTACTGTTAGCCGGCACAGACATACGCACACAGACACGTGCGCACAGACAGACACGCGCATGCAGACACAAGCAAAGCAGACACACGCAACGCAGACTCACGCAACGCAAGCACGCGCACACGCACAACCCACCACAGTCAGCATCCACCCAACCACCAAACGAACCACCCACCCATCCACCGCTTCCAAACCCCAATTATTAAAACCATTAGTTTTCTCACCAGCCCCTTGCACTGCCGCCCGCTCATCTCAGCCGCCCAGTTTAAATATCCGTGCTACCACCTCCTGGTCAAGCGGCCTTCATTTGCAAATAAATTGAATGGAATATTAAAGGGGGCTTATCCTCCCGATACAGACAAATGAATTTTCACAGGCGCTGATTAGCTTAATAGCGCTGACATAAATTTTCTAAAGGCAGAGATAATATTTAGACACCGACTCAAAGTTAAATTAGAAGCGGGCCCCGCGCAGACCCCCGGCTGCTGGAAATTGCCTTCGCCCCCCCCATCCACCTCCAGCCCCCCCCCCCCAGCCCCTCCACCACCACCACCACCCCGCCTCCCCTCCCCCAGCGCTGTTGAATAATTAAAGACCAGAAGATTATTAAAGGCGAGCGGCGCGCTCGGCGGCACTCGCCCATCCCCGTGCATTGAGAGAGGGAGAGGGGGGAGATGGCAGAGGGAGGGAGGGGGGGGCAGAGGGAGGGAGGGGGGGGGGGAGAGGGAGGGGGGAGAGGGAGGGGGGAGATGGGAGAGAGAGGGGGGGAGATGGGAGAGGGAGGGGGGGGAGATGGGAGAGGGAGGGGGGGGAGATGGGAGAGGGAGGGGGGGGGGAGATGGGAGAGGGAGGGGGGGGGAGATGGGAGAGGGAGGGGGGAGAGGGAGGTGGGGGGAGATGGGAGAGGGAGGGGGGGAGATGGGAGAGGGAGGGGGGGAGATGGGAGAGGGAGGGGGGGAGATGGGAGAGGGAGGGGGGGAGATGGGAGAGGGGGGGAGATGGGAGAGGGAGGGGGGGGAGATGGGAGAGGGAGGGGGGGGGAGATGGGAGAGGGAGGGGGGGAGATGGGAGAGGGAGGGGGGGAGATGGGAGAGGGGGGGAGATGGGAGAGGGAGGGGGGGGAGATGGAGAGGGAGGGGGGGGAGATGGGAGAGGGAGGGGGGGGGAGATGGGAGAGGGAGGGGGGGGGAGATGGGAGAGGGAGGGGGGGGAGATGGGAGAGGGAGGGGGGGGGAGATGGGAGAGGGAGGGGGGGAGATGGGAGAGGGAAGGGGGAGATGGGAGAGGGAGGGGGGGGGAGGTGGGAGAGGGAGGGGGGGAGATGGGAGAGGGAGGGGGGAGATGGAAGAGGGAGGGGGGGGAGATGGGAGAGGGGGGGGGGAGATGGGAGAGGGGGGGGGAGATGGGAGAGGGAGGGGGGGGGAGATGGGAGAGGGAGGGAGATGGGAGAGGAAGGGGGGGGGGGGAGATGGGAGAGGGAGGGGGGGAGATGGGAGAGGGAGGGGGGGGAGATGGGAGAGAGAGGGGGGGAGATGGGAGAGGGAGGGGGGGGAGATGGGAGAGAGAGGGGGGGAGATGGGAGAGGGAGGGGGGAGATGGAAGAGGGAGGGGGGGGAGATGGGAGAGGGAGGGGGGAGAGGGAGGGGGGGAGATGGGAGAGGGGAGATGGGAGAGGGGGGGAGATGGGAGAGGGGAAAGGGAGGTGGGGGGGAAGATGGGAGAGGGAGGGGGGAGAGGGGGGGGGAGATGGGAGGCGGGGGAGATGGGAGAGGTGGGAGAGATGGGAGAGGGAGGGGGGGGGAGATGGGAGGGGGGGGAGATGGGAGAGGTGGGAGAGATGCAGGAGGGGGGGGAGATGGGAGAGGGAGGGGGGAGATGTGAGAGGGGCGGGGGGAGATGGGAGAGGAGGGGGGGGGGAGATGGGAGAGAGAGATGGGGGAGAGAGAGGAGAGATGGGATAGAGAAATAAAGTGTGTTGGGAGAGAGAGGAGAGATGAGGGGAGAGTGCGTTTGGATAGAGAGACAGGATATGGGGCCAGAGAGAGGCGATGTGGAGAGAGTGTGGGGAGCAGTGAGATGTAGAACGAGGGAGAATGGGTGTTGGGGGAGAGAGGAGATGGGGGGGGGGGAGAGTACCAGGAGTGAGATGGAGAGAGTGTAGATGGGGATAGAGGAGATGGTGTGGGGAGGGAGATTGTGAGAAAGGAGATAGTGTGGGGGGAGAGAGTGAGAGGAGATGGGGAGAAAGGAAATTGGGAGAGAAAAATGGGGGAGAGGGAGGGAGATGAGGGGGGGGGCAGATGGGGGAGAGGGAGGGGGAGGTGGGGAGGGCGTTCGTAAGCTGGGTTCGGCGTTGCAGCAGCATTAATAAATTATTTATAGCTTTACAGAAATTTATTAAAGCAGAAACATTGACCTTTTTTATTCTTATGGTCGTGGTGATGATGATAGTGGTCATGATTATAGTGATGATGATGATGATATTGATGGTAATGGTGGTGATGATCATTGTGATGATTACACTGGTGGTGGTAGGTCGTCGTGATTAGTGGTGGTAACGATAATAATGGTGGTGATATTGGTGGTGGTGATAAAATAGTTGTTGGTGGTGGTGGTGGTTGGTAGTGGGCATGATTACAGTGATTTCGTACACATAACCTAACAACAATAATATTTCATATGGCGCGTTGAGTCATTGATGTTGCCCATGACGCAATTATTCAAGAGCAATTAATTATTATAATTATAATTCAAACATAATCACAACCACGTGAAAATAATAACATTACATTACTAATATATTATTCATGTCATGTAATTAATATTTGAATAAATAGACAGCATGATAAAATATACAGAGTGACCTCTTACTCATGACCCCCGGTCACGTGGTTTTGGTGGTGGGTGGGTGGATGGGGGGGATACACTCAGCCCATCATTCCCTGCGGAGGGGTCGATAAAATGCAAAAAAACACCAAAGAAACACTGCTGGAGAGGTAAACAGGGGTTGTCCTAAGCAATACAAAACTCCACCCCCCCCCCCTCCGCGCCAAAAGAATGTTACCTGGGTAGGAGCGGTGGTGCAAGTGGTTAGCGCACTACGCGCAGAGCGACGTCAGGAACCTCTTGGGAGAGCGCCTGGTGCGCCACCACCAATCTAACCCCGCGGTGACCGGCGTGGTGAAGTATGGTCGGTCAAACAACTCCACACGGTCCACACGCCGTGGGTAGGAGGCTTTCATCCAGCAGTGGATTTATAAAAAAGGGTTTTCGATGATGATTGTAGTGGGGAAGACGGTGGAGGGGGGGGGGGGCGGTGACGCAGTGGTTAGCGCACTGCTCTATTAGGGTGCATTACCATTATTATATACACGTCGCACATTCATGTATATAAATAAAAAGACGGTATAATTGATAACTAGAATATATGGCAATTAGAAGCAAAGCATAACTTAAATATCACTTCACTCTTGAATAACAAGGCGTTGCTGTGTATGTGGGGGGGGGGGGGGGCTATAATTTACGGCTAATTAAAAGGCGGGAGATAATTGTCACGTGTTATAGACAATTTGCCACGTGGAGAGAGTGGAAACAGGCTCATTCAAGCAGCAGTCAATTAATCATCTTAATAATAAATAATGATAAAGACACATTTGACAAAATTAAGACAGGGGGGTGACCCAAAAGTCAGGACACATAGGATGATTGTATTTTATTTAACTCCGATGAATGGTGTATTCTTTTAAGTGAATATATTTTTGTTATCTATTATTCTTTTTTTAAAAAATCTTCCTTTTCAGATGACTTTTACAAAAATATATTTTTTATTTTGTTACTGAATCGAGACGCAAAATGTAATTGATGAATGCTTTAAAGATTACACACGTGTCATCTTTTTTAAAAAAACGCCCATACATTCATTTCACAAGATAATTCATGCATCACTGCAGTAATGTTAATAATGGATGTCAGTATAAACATTTGCTCAAACGAATTAAATAACCCTATGCGATTTATTTTTAAAAGTAAAAAAATACGTGTACTAATAACAACCCCACGCGTCCTGATTCGTGGGCCACCCTGTTTATTACGACGTCGTGTGCCAATCCACTGCTGGATTAAAGCCTTCTCCACTCTGCTTGCGGGGCACGAAGTGGTGGGTTTATCGCTTGCTTTTGCGTTTGGCCGTGAGCGTTTATTCAATAATACTTTTTTTTGCCCTCCACCACCTGACAGAGCAAATCAAATCGCATGGTCACGTGACGCGAGTAGTGCCGGATTATCCTCGTAGCAAAAGTTTCTACGGGCCCCGCACTTTCAAGGGCCCCGCGCTAAATGCTTTCAAAGCTATCAATTCCGGCTCACTGATTGTGCACTTGCTCTATTACTATAGTACTATACCGCCTTCAACTTTCATTAACGACTGGATGTTTAAGGTTAGCGATTTGTCGTTATTATCTGGCTGTATAGCAAGTAAAAAAAATACAATTATTTTACTATCTAAGTTAAAAATGTGTGTGTTTTCATATTTGTATTTAACTTTATTTAGGGCCCTTTTGAACAAATGCTACAGGCCCCGCACTAGCTTCATCCGGCAGTGGCAGCGGGCAAACGTGCCAGTGGTGTTGTTGGTTTAACAACAAAGCCGGGCGGGTAGGATGTTTAAAAAAGCGAGCACAATTACTTTGGCAATTAACACCTACACGGATGAGGGAGGGGGGTGGCAAGAAAGGGGGGGGGGTTAACCATACTTCACCACTTGTGTATCGTAGATTCACGGATGCTTATAGTTCACGATTACGGTACAATGACAATTTCTGCACTCGCAATTACAACAGCGATTTCCCACCGCGTCCAGTGATCATTCCTACAGCGAGTATCTCCTGCGGGTAAGGTTGCAATTAGTTTAGGTCGAAAGTGAAATTACAACATTCTCTGCCCACTGCCGTAATAATTATTATAACACTGCCATTTAGAATAATAATGCAATTAAACATGCGTCTTTGTATTATCTACGCTTGTTTACTCGGTGATGGGGGATAAACCACAAGTTTTATCAATGGGCGAGATGTTAACTACCTCGCCTCGTATACATGAGGTCGTGGGTTTGATCGCGACCCTAACGCCTGCTGTATATTTGGAGTTTGCGTGTCTCTCTCATCATCATCACGGTGGCTAGGAGATGTTGACTACCTCGCCTGGTATACAGGAGGTCGTGGGTTTGATCCCGACCCTAACGCCTGCTGTATATTTGGAGTTTGCGTGTCTCTCTCATCATCAAGGTGGCTAGGAGATGTTAACTACCTCGCCTGGTATACAGGAGGTCGTGGGTTTGATCCTGACCCTAACGCCTGCTGTATATTTGGAGTTTGCGTGTCTCTCTCATCATCATCACGGTGGCTAGGAGATGTTAACTACCTCGCCTGGTATACAGGAGGTCGTGGGTTTGATCCTGACCCTAACACCTGCTGTATATTTGGAGTTTGCGTGTCTCTCTCATCATCATCACGGTGGCTAGGAGATGTTAACTACCTCACCTGGTATACAGGAGGTCGTGGGTTTGATCCTGACCCTAACGCCTGCTGTATATTTGGAGTTTGCGTGTCTCTCTCATCATCATCACGGTGGCTAGGAGATGTTAACTACCTCGCCTGGTATACAGGAGGTCGTGGGTTTGATTCCGACCCTAACGCCTGCTGTATATTTGGAGTTTGCGTGTCTCTCTCTCCCTGTGGTCACGTGGATTTTTCTCCGGGTCCCGTTGTTTTTTTTTTCCCCCTCCACGTTTTATTATCGACATCGTGCGTTCAGAGGATATGGCTTCAATAAATCTCCACGTGATGATGACGAGCCACTTTGTCGAGCTATTATTTGGGGCCAGGTCGCTTCTGAAAAAAAGAGATACACAGCTCAGTGGGCTTTTCCTAGTGGAACAAAAAAAGTTAAAATAGTTTTAGTGTAATCCTAGTTTGGTAATCACTGCAATAATTTGATTACCACGCTCACAACTATCACAACAACTACTATGGCAGTGCCGCACTGTGTACCATATTGCTGTATTTACACTAAAGTAATATTGATTTCCTGGATATTCTATTCCCTTCTTCCCGGATGTTATCCTGAAGATGCTTGATGCAGTTTGGAGCCAAACGTCGCGATATCGAATTGCTGCTAAATTTGGTTGAGAATTGTTCCATAACGTAATGGTTGAGTGAATGGTTACGTGAGTGGGTGAGTGGTTGGGTGAGTGAGTGGGTGGGTGAGTGAGTGAGTGGGTGAGTGAGCGAGTTGTTAGGTGGGTGAAAGGGTGGTTGAGTGAGTGGTGAGGTGAGTGAGTCTATGGGTCTCTGTGTGAGTCGATGGGTCTCTTTGTGAATCTATGGATTTCCTTGTGAGTCTATGGGTCGCTATGTGAGTCTGTGGGTCTCTATGTCAATCGATGGGTTTCTTTTGCCTCTGTGAGACCGTGGGTCTAAACATATTCTGGCCTCATGCTCGACTAACGATTCAACACGTAGGCTTTCGCGACCAATATCATCCACAATAGAGGTTTTTGGCTTAGATCACGATCGAACCCCAAAACCTCTTATTATCGACTAACGATGCCGGCGGTGGGGGGGGGGGGGCTGCTTGGGCGGTGGGCGTGGCTATCTGAGTGGTGGGCGGGGGGGCTATTGTTTGAGTGGGCGTGACTCTGCGAAAGTGGGCGGGGCTCGTCGAATGGCGTGGTCGCGGTTGAGCCTGCGAGAAATGCGCTGGGGTTGTTCGCTTTCGCGACCAATTATAATCATGATAAAGGGTTTTGGGCTAGATCACCACCACTATATGGGAAATCGTTAGATGATGCTGGATGATGTAATTACCAGCGAAAGGTCGTACTACTCAAATTGTAAACATTGTGGATTTGCTCTCCAACACACCGGTGGGCTGAAGTGGTAAACTAACTGGCGCTTTGTTTACGTGACAAATCCATTACTAATTGGGTGTGTCGGGTGGTGGAGGGTTACGACACAATTCAACTTAAGCGATCTACCCCAAGAAGCTTTATTATGAAGCGCAGTGATTTTTTTTCTTCTGGGCGTGCGAGGCATGGCCAGATTGTTTTAGAAGTTAAACATAATCTTAAACACCAAATTTAGCAAGGGCACGTCAGTGACAACTTGACTCATCAAACCCCGATGCGTTTATTAACATTGTAAAAAAAAAAATGTAACGCTTGAGAACCAAACCGTGTGCAAGGCTGCAAGTAGAGTTGATAAGCACCACTTATAAGAACCAAAGTTATTCAGCACCACTGCGTTAGAGTCAGTGGCCTAGCTCCTCTTTGTCCTGAGATGTGAGTTTGAGAAGTCAGTGGCTGGCTCACGTGGAGTTGGTGGCGGTCGGGAGGGGCGGTCATTACCCGCCAACACAACCAAGGGAGGCAGTATGCCAGACGGGCGCTAGTGTGTGAGAGAGTGCGGGTGAGTGTGTGGTGCGGTGAGTGGTGTGTGGGGGAGCGGTGGTGTAGCGGTTAGCGCTACGCTGCGCTACGAACCCGGCGACCCGGGTTCGCTTCCCCGCTCGCGGCCCAACACCGGTGACGATTATCTGAACCGGTCCTGGGCCTCCCCTATGTCGATTCAGCCTGAAATGAGTACTTGGTGCGGAGTGTAAACATCGCCACTCGGGAGACAAAGGCGGTCGGGCGTGGTGCTGGCAACCCACCCCCTCGTGTACTGTTCCGGCCTTTCTAGGTGTTGCTCGCTAACAGCACTTGCCCCTACAGTCTGTCAAGGCTATACGGGGGACCTTTTGTTGTCCATGTCAGAGTGGTGTACTTGTGTTCGCGTGTCTGTGTGCACCTCCGATGAGCACGGTTGGCTACGTACGGTGCGTAAGAAGTTCACCATACATACATACACGTGCGTTTGCGCTACGAATCCGGTAACCCGAGTTCGATTCCCGCTCACGGCCGACGTTAGTGACGAACATTCTGAACCAGTTCTGGACCTCCCGTAGATCGACTCGGCTTTAATTTGAGTGCCCGGTGCGGTGTGAAAAAATCAGCGGTGAGGAAGACAAAGGCGGCCGTGTGCCATGCTGGTCTTCATAGGTGCTGGCTAAAAGCACTCCTATCCCCAATAGTCTAGGATCGTACGAGTGCTGTTTGAGTTCGTGTGTGATTGTAGCTCTTATCTGTATGAATAAATGTCGATTTGTTTGTATGTATATCTGTGTGTGCATATGTACGCATGTAAGTATGTCTTTGTCTTTCTACGGGGATACAAAGGCGGCCGGGCGGGCGTGGTGCTGACCACCCACTCACCCACCCCTTCGTGTGCCGTGCCGGCCTTCATAGAGCGTCTCCTGTCGTCTACACGGGGAGACGGGGGGGGGGGGGTCTTTGTCTTTGTTTTGTCTGCACG